ACAGGACAGTGCGGGCAAGGCGACCTCATCACTGTTATTATCACTGCGATATGACTTCCTACCCCGCCCCTTGGCTCTCCGACACGGGTCCCTTCACAGATCTCAGGACACATTTTTTATTATGAGTAAACATAATAAAAAAGAGTTAACCAGTTCATCTACCCAACATCAAAGCTCAAGAAACATTTGAAACATGACAGCAATGAACGACTAAAGTGTTAACTGGAGTGAGCTCTTTCTTCTTTTACCGAATTCTCGTATCTAGCTAAGAAATTCTCCAAGGCGAGGGAAGAACACCTCTCTCTCCCAGACAGTAACTTTATTTTGAATAAGGCTTTTGAAGACATACAACAGCCCAAATTTTCTCTAGTTAATCATAACAGGTATTGACCTGGGCTCTGTGGCCATTGTTTTATCTTGTGCTCACAACATCCATTTGAAGTAGATACAATATTTATGGTCTGATTATGTTATTATACATCAATTGATGATATTATTTTACAAATACATCTGAAACGGGGAGAGCTGAAGTAACCAGTGACACAAGCCACATTATACGGAAGAGGAAATACATTTTTTAAAGCATGTACGTAAGTTCTCCCAAGTCCACTGTAGGCAGAGCCCAGAGTGGAGAAACCCAGGTCGTTTGATTGTCGATCCTTAATCACTGTTCGATTCTGTGTGTTCAGACCAGACCCGCTACCTCCAGTTTGGCCTAACAACTGAGAATAGTCACAGTTATGAAGTTAAAAAGAATGTACTGAATATGGAGAGAATCAGACATCGACAGTTAATGACATTGTTGTCCAAGTTCCCCAAAGAAGGTAGCTGAGAGCTTTTTTTTTCTTCTTCATCTTTTCAAACAGTTATGGCCACACTCCACATGGCACAAGAGACTCTATCACAGGCTTGTGTGGTCAGCTGAACAAAATAAACTCCTTGATCATGATTCTACGGCTATGGCAGACAGGCAGCAAACCCCCTGGTCCGTTTGACCTCTGCTCCCATCCCGCCTGGCTGGTGCCACTTCACCCCGCACTCTAGCAAGCAAAGGCTCAAATTCACCCTCCACTTCACAACCTGCCTGGCAACTTGGTCACCAGCAGAATTAGCAGTACAACCTCCAGTTCTGGGAGAGGGCGGGACAGTCACTCATTTGCTCCCCCTGTTCAATCCACCCTAAGAGCTACTGCTACTTCGCCCTCCAAAAACCACAGTCATGACATCACCCTGAGATAATAGCCAGGCTTTCTAATCCACCAAACCCCAACCTCAAATTCACTTACTCAGTCTTGAGTGGGGGTCTCTGCCTGGTCCTGTGCGAAGCGTCTGAGACACATGCATGAGTTAAACAACAGGGTACAGAAGGGAACCCCGAAAAGACACAATTGTCGGAGCACGAAGCAAAGGCATCGTGAGAGCGCTCAATGTTCATTCATATACTCCCCAGTCTTTACTGAATTAAGATAATCATGCCCACTCTGAAGTACCTGGTTTTCTCCTCTACCTCTGCCAAAGTTCAGAGCAAACACTCCCTCAGAGAACTCTTCACTCATTCTCTGATGGAGAGAGCCCTCCCACATACACCTGGTACATAGCCTTCACTGCACCCACAGCTGCAGGTAAATACCTGCTTGTGAATTTCTTCTTGGTAAGTGGGGATCTGCCTTACCTCCTGGAAGATAAGTTACATGAGGATAGAAACAACGGACCTGGTTATCTTTGTTATGTTAGGCACTGGGAATGTGGGAGCCTCCCGGTTAAGTACCCCGTGAACATTAGTTATATCCCATTCTCTTCCATCATTTGTACTTTCAGGGGTTTTTTTTTAATCCAATTTCTCCGACGGGAGTACTCCATTTAAACCTACACGCATCGACTTTATTTAAATAACTACCAATCATCAGCATTTACAGAGCCACCTTTTAGTCTAATTTGTCCTCTGTGTAGGAGTGGAACTGATTTCCCCTTAGAAACAAGCTCAGTGGCAGGGACTATCTCTGGAGGTTTTAGTGTGTTTAACTTCATACCTAGGCGAGGACTCAACATCCTTTAACCCTTCGTAAATACTTAGAACCCTGTTGTGACTGCAAATAGACACTAATCATTCTCGTATCTACTCTGCAGATAAAATTGCCGCATTTGTTCAATCAGCAGTTTTTCCAGGAAATTCGGTAAAAGGAAATAAAAGCCCTTCTGCACATATTCTGAGACTGTTCATTTCGAGTTCGTTTTAAATGCTTTCAAACATGTCATTTTCCTACATTAACCGAGCTCAGTCCACTTAGGAGAAATGGAAACAGCAGTCTCCACCAAAATCACACCAAAGCCACCCAAGAATAAACACACATTGGGGACTGGGCGCCCCTCCCCTGCTTCCTTGTGCCATGAGACCATTCAAATGGAGGACCCCCGCTCGCGTGAAAGGGTCTCACTGCGCCCTGAGTCCGTGTACCCTTCGGCAATCAACTTTTTTCCTGCTCAAATTCTCACGGGACTCTTTTGATAAAACTCAGGCTTTTGAACCTCACGGGACTGCGGTAGCATTTTCGGGTGCCAGCATAAGGAGTGCTGGTGGCCTCCCCCACACCAGCCCCAGATGCCCCATCTTCTTCTTTACCAACTGCCAGCACCTGCCTCCCGTATCATGCCAACAGTGCCACGTGATCACACCTGCTCATTTTCTGTAACTACATGACTTGCTGAGCCCATTGTTTTTCTCTGGGACTTAACAACCTACAACCGGTCGCTGACCTTAATCCCACAGCTCCCCCATGTAGATTCCAAAGTGTGTGTTTGGTTTCCAATAACGTTTGCATTCATTCTGAAAGTCAATGTGTACTGAAAATTTATGTTCATGAGACATTTTTCATGAACATTTTTACTGATAGCCTAGCAACAATGGGCGATTATTCTCACACAGTAAATGAAGGGAGCGTTTTCAGTCACTAAATGAATGCCTCCAAATGTCTACTGAGCAATAGAAAAGATGATACACACTGATATTCTCAGAAAAAACTGCAGTTACGCTGAGGAGCTTGGACATGGACCAAAAATGTCAGGGAAAAAGGGTATACAAGTGGAAAAATATATATAAATTCAGTTAACTCTAATAGACGGTTTATTGGAAACCCTCGCAGCATTTTTCAAAAGAACTTGACAGGTTTTATTTCAATAAGACATAGTAAAGAGGAAATGGTTTAAAAGATGTCATCAATCTTTTATTTAACTAAGCACTGCCCTTCATTTTGAAGGAAATGAGACCATTTCAAATTGGAACCTCCTTCTCAAGAAGTGGTATGAGAACTTAACATTGATTGAACATACAGTATCCAACAAAAACTAAAGTTTACACAATTCTCTAGAAACAAAATCCATGTGGAATGTATGGTGTTGGTCCATGGAATTCTCCACAGGTTACAAGTATTACGGCAAAGAACAAAACAACATAATGAAATCTGAATAAAGCAGTCACGTTTATAGTTACCCTGATTGTTTAAAATCCATAAATAAAATCTAACTTTCCAAACAAATCCATTCAATGACCATGATCAACTAAATTTTATTCCAATTCATAAAAAAAAAAAATGGTTAGACAATCACATAATATCAAGTCTTTACACAGTGGATTCCATTTTGTTAAGAGAGGAAAAAAAAATAGAAAACAAGTAGTCCTTAAATTTTTTTCACTCACCATAGCATATGTCATATAAAATTAAAGTTTTGTTTCCAAAAATATGTTTCCATGTGGTCGTGGTTTTGTCTAGTAGTGCTCTTAGGGTCAGAAGCACCAAAGACATGAGAAGTTTAACCACCGAAGGGCCATTTTACATAAAAACTAAAAATCTCCTTACATGTCTGGAGTAAAGTCTTCCGCTAGGCATTTTAGTGCTATTGTTACTTTAAATTAAACATGGAATAAAAGCTACAAAATGTTGAGTTCTTTCAGTACAAAAGTGGCGTAGCTGAAGTCGTGGGCTCCTCTGACATACATACGCAGTCCCAATAAAATAGCTACTCAAGTAAGAAAATAGAATTTGTCTGATTACACTTAGCATACATCCCGCTCGGGTGTCCTGCCTACCCTGCCAGAGCGTCTAAAGAACATCAGAATTGATATTTCTTTCCTTCAAAGAGCATCTGCGATTCACAGTACAAAATAATTCTAAAGTCTTGATCCTAAGGAGAAACGAAAATTATTAAATATATATATATATTTTTAAAGTGCCAGATGTAAGCACTGCCTGGGATTAAAAACTCACGTATCCACAACAGTGCCATGTTGAGGAACGAGCCGAGTCGCTTCTCCTTTCTTGGTGCCTTCCCTGGTTGGCTGCTGCTTTACTTGAAGCTTTAGGACCTACACAAACTTCCGATGGCATCCCCTGTCCCTAAGGGTTATGTGTCCCACATCTCTGGAACCCTGTACAACACGCTTGCCTTACATGGGAAAGCGGCACCTGGAGTAGAACTATTTCAACTTCTCGCTCATCTTCAAGCCTTGTTGTCAAAAACCTCTTCTCCAGAGGTAGAATGTGATCGTTGATGTAGATCTTACAGCTCTTCACACTGAGACCTCTCCCAAAAAGTAGTTCGTTTGCAACAACAGGTAGTCACTGCTATACCTCAGTGGGACCGATGACAGTCGCTTTCCATTTGAGGGCGAAGGAGGGAGTCAGAGATGGAGGAGCGGACGAGAGGTGGCTGGCTGGTCCAGAGCTGCTGGACAGGGCTGTTCTGTTCTTGCTGCCTGCTGCTGCATGCTAGCCGTTACTTGCAACATTCACTACTGTGTTAAGCACAAAAGAAAATCCAGAGCCCTGGCTGGTTTGGCTCAGCGGTTAGAGCATCCGCCCTCGGACCAAAGAGTCTTGCGTTCAATTCTGGTCAAGGGCACATATGTCAGTTGTGGTTCGATCCCCTACCCTGGCTGGGGTCGTGCAAGAGGCAACCAATCGATGTGTCTCTCTCATATGGATATTTCTCTCTCTCTCTCTCCCTCCTTCCCATTCTATCTGAAAATCAATGAAAAAATATCCTCCAGTGAGAATTAAAAAAAGAAGAAAATCCAGATCTGTTAGGCAGAGTAAGCTCTCCTCAATGCCTTCACCCACGTTTCTCTCGCTCCACTTCTCCATGAGCAAGAGAACATAAACACAGAGTGATGACATTTACTAGACACGGCTACTAGAGTGACATTTCCAGTGGGAGACTGGTGTGTCTGTGACGCCGCAGACTGGGGCTGAGGGCTGTCCATCTTTAACAGAGGATAGGACCTATTTGGAGAAACAGGAAGCATAGCTAATGCCCTTGTAATGAAAGAATGTCATGTTGAGGTGCTATGAGGACTTACAAATTATGGCCTCAACCGCCAAGTTTGGAAAAAGTACACAAGGAAACCTTGTTGCCTTGAGATCTCCAGGCAGGAGGCCCGAGGATGACCACGGCTGTAGAACACTCATGATTCTACTCCAACTGGAAGAATGAGGTCACAAAAATGACGTATTCAGTGTATGTTCTGTGTAATCTCTAATGACTCCCAAGAAAAAGAAAAACTTGACTCAACTTTTGAAACAGCGTTAGCAATGCCAGTGCGGTGCCCCAGCAGACATGCGTCTGGATCCAGGGCACACATCATTCCAGAGCTCCCAGGAACACGAGGAGCAGGTTGGGAAAAAAAAAGAATGTAAAGCTTCCGAGTAAAGCCAAGTGTGGCTCAGCAGGAGATCCAAATCGTATTGGCCAGCCTGCTGCCAACAGATCCCACAATCGCTGACCTGTGCTTTAGGACTGTCACCAGATTTGGCACTGACTATACCAGGTGGCGTTTGTGGTTGCTGTCAGCTCTTGAGAAAGCGTTCTGAAGGAGAGTTCTCCAAGCACCAAGGAGAATGCTGCACTATAACAAGCCTTTGCATCTTGAATTAAGTGTGCCTCAAGTATGGCGACCAAAACAAACACCTTATCGTTGAGAACTGCATCAGGCCAAAGATTTTACCAGCAGCAGAGCACAAGTGTGAGGGATGGAGCAGTGAGGGAAAATTAAAATTCACAGGACCATCAAAGCCTTCCATTTTAAAAAGGTTACCTTCACTGTTCAGGAATGGGGTTCAGGGAGAAGAGGGAGTGATTGAGTAATTCCTGACAGGGCAAACCTGTTTGGCTGCTTCTGTAGTGGATACTTTATGGGGTGGCACCAGCTCATCCCATGTGTGACCTGTGGATGAACACAGCCAAACAGGTTTAATTAGATCAGAGACACAAAGGCTATTCCCTCCTTTGATAACAAATAACATAGCTGTAAGTGCCTACAATAGCAGGCAAGAAACAAAGGCGGCCAAACAGAACCATAATTGAATCCTTCCCCTAGCTGGCCCCTGACAATGATTTACTTATAACCTGGGAAGTGGCTGGTAGAGCAGGAGAGCCGGCAGGAGACTCAGCCAGCTCCAGAAGATAAATTACTTGGGGACAGGGAGGAGGGAGGTAGCAAACTCTTTGTTTTTCAGCCCAAGTTTACTGGACTCTTTGTTACACTTCACAGGCGGCTGCTCTGTTTTGGTCTGCTGCTACCAGACCTGGTCCTGGTTTCTCCAGGCTTGCATCCCAGGAATCCCATAAAATAAATCACCCAGCCTCCTGGATCCCACACACAGCTCCACAGGGGTAGCCGATATGCGGTTCTCTGCTGACCACAGACCACTCTGGCCTTAGTCCAGGGCAACTTCCAAGCCCAGGGTAGGGGGGAAGCGGGGAGGAGGCAATGGCAGGCGTTGGTACTCCGAACTTTTCTCCACCCCTTCTTGCATAGGAAGGGTAGATTTTGGACCCAGGTCCAGCAGGGATTTAGTGTCAGGCATGTCCACAGTTTCTCTCACCTCAGGAAGAAGACAGATTGAGAGAGTGGTCCGGCAGTGCCCCCAACCAAAGCGTTCTTCCTACCTGCTCCCTCTTCCTCCTCCGTCCAAGATAACAAGCTCAAGCCACAGCTGGCTGCGCATTTCACCAACTCTCCATTTTCCAAATGGCCCAGGAGCCCAGATGGGGCTCAGAGGTGGTGGTGGAGGAGTGGAGGGAGGAGGCAGCGGCTTCTGGCAGCAGCTCCCTCACAGCTCTGCACTCAGCTGGCCCATCAGTGCACCACCGCCTCACGGTTCTCCTCCTCCCAGCCAAGCTCAGGGGGGCGCTCGAGGGGCGGCTTAGTCCGCGCAGTGTCGCTGTCGCCCTCTTCCGGCTCGGCCGGGTGCAGGTGCATAGCGAGCTCCTGCAGCACGGCTGCCCGCCCTATCTGGTCGTTGCGCCGCTTCTCCATGATCAGGTCCTCCAGGCTCTGGAACTCGAGCGTGTGGCTGCGCTGCGCAGAGAGCTGGATCTGCAGCCGGTAGGGCTGCTTGCCGATGCGCAGCTCGCCGCCGATCTTGAACTCGCGCTTGCCGTAGCGGCACCAGGCGGCGAAGCTCTCGGAGTTGCGCCAGCTCAGCTCGCGCTCCTTGGCGCCCACGTGTGCCAGCGCGTTGCGCACCACGGCGCTGGGGCTGAGTGGCTTGTAGCGGTACAGATCGTTCACCACGCGGCCGCGCCGGCCCTGGCTCGCGTCCGTCAGGAAGCTGTTGCTCACCTCCAGCCGGTGCAAGTGCACCACCTGGAAGTTGCCCACGTATACAGCCCAGTGGGGGTACTGCGCCTGCGACACGAACTCCACCAGGTCGCCAGGCTTGCACTTGTTGAGCAGGTTCTCGGGCGTGTAGGTGCTCAGCGACGCGGAGCCCGGCGCAAAGCTTTTCTGGTAGATGCACTCGTCGCGGTAGAACACGGAGCACTCCACCTCGTGCAGCCGAGGGTCGTAGGGCTGCGGCGGGGGCAGTGGCGGCCCGTCCTCACCTTTGGGCAAGCCGCCGCCATCCGGCCCCTGGGGTGGTGGCTGCGGCTCTACGTCCTCGTCATCATTGGAAAAGATGTAGGAGACCCCAATGCGAGGCCCGTCGTCCCGGTCCATGCCCGTCGGGTCAGCTGTGGGAACTTCCTTATAATTTAGGTGGGTCAGTTTCTCCACCTGGTTGCCCATCACGCTGCGGAAACACGTTCACACCGCCGAGAGGGGAGAAAGCGAAACCACCACTAGGGTCATTGGCACAGGTCCCCGGACAGGGGCTGAGACCACCTGTTGGGAGAGGAAGGCAAGGAAGCCATATAGGAGCCCCTCCGTGTAAAGGACGATTTGTTAAGAGGCGGAAGAAAGGTTCGGGTCGAGCACCTGGAGCCATCTACGGGGAGTCTCGGTTGTAGCGAGTCTTCCCTCATTTCTCCACCACTAGGGTCACGGTCTCAGGAAACCAGGCAACTCCAGCTCTGCCCCCGCCCCGAGCCCTCACCTCGCCCGGGCAAAAGTCCATTGCATCAGCAGCTTCTATTGCTTCCGCCAGCTCCCTACCTGCCAAGCCCGGGCAGGAGGGGTAAGAAAGAGAAACTTTACTCCAGTCCTCCCTTTCCTCACCCCCCTGCCACCCCAGGGCCCTAACTTAACCCCTGAGACGACCTCCCCCGCTCACGCTTCCTTCCCCGGGGAAACCCACGAGGATTGCGTAGCACGGTCGGAGCAGGTGAGCCACCCTACCTGGGCTCACCTGCGGCGCTTTCTCCTCCCGTCTCCCCGGCTCTTCCCCCCCGCGCGCGCCCTCTAGCTCGGGTTACCTGCGCACTCACCTGCCGAGAGGCGGAGGCCGTGGGGAACCGGGAGGGGGTGCCGCTGCACCCTGAGACTTCTAGGGCGAGTTTGCAGGTTTGGGCTCCGCAGCCCCTTCTCTTCTTGAGCGGGTGGCAGCAAGGCTGCACAGGGGGAAGCAAGGCATGTCTTGTACCCCCGGCTACGTAGCGCTTCAAGACTTGAAGGTGGGGGGGCAATGCCTGTTCACCCCGCACCCCTTCGCGCCTGCTAGGGTTGCTGTCCTCCCTCAATCGGCTCTCGGGGCAGGTGGGGCGCGAAGAGGAGGAGAAAGAAGCAGCCTGGCTACCCGGCGGCAGCAGCTCCCGCTCGGGCCCGGCGAGCAACAAGCGCCGGAGCGGGAGGGACGGGATTGTAGATCCGGCTTCGGGCTCCCGGGGCGGGAGCGCAGCCTCTGGCATTTAAAGAGACAGGCGCTCGCTCCCGGAACCCGGGTCTTTCCCTCACGGTGCAGAGCCTCCGGGATCCCCGCCCCGTCCGGCCCACCGAGGCCGCGGGGCTCCGCCCAGGCCCCGCCCCCGCGCCGGAGCAGGTTTAAATCGCGCTGGTAAATTATGAACGCGCCGGCTGGGCGGGCGCTCAGAGCGCAGGTGTCGGCGCTGGCCGCTGGGAGCTCCGCTTGCCTTCTTCGAGCCAGGGCCTGCTGGGGGCTCTCGCTGCTTGCTCGGCTGGTGCTTTTCCGAGCTGGGAGCTGGGCAAGGAAGTTGCACGGCGAGTGCCCCCCTGCCAGCGCAGAGAAGACACCATAAGAGTTTGCCGTTTGTGTTTTTTTCTCCTTCGCCTCTTTGCCACAGCACCTGGGGAGGGAGAGACGGGCACTGGGAAGCAGACGCACGTCTTTTCTTTCCTGGAGAATATTTCTCGCCAATGTTTACAGCAAAGATTTTTTTTTAGTGGCACAGCTCAAAAAGTGCGCCAGTTTAGAGGTATATTTGCAGGATGGGTGCTGTGAAACTTTCGGGTGGAAAAATTTTCACAGAAAGGAAACAGTATAAAACGGAAGAAATACTTAGTTACTGGCTTACCTCCAAGACCAGCGCTGTGTCTATAGAGGTCCCTCGAAGTTGGCAAAAGTTGATTTCACAACCTCTGTTGTTTCGAGTTACTAGTTGGTCTGGTAGTGAGAGAAAATATTCAGCTGTTTTGTTTTGTTTTGGCCGGGGGGAGGGAGGAGGGTAAAGGATGTAGGACTTGCCTAATTGCCTTTAAATTAAGAACAAATGAGCAGAGGCCCCTGGTGGATATATCTCCTTCCTGCCGATTTTCAGAAGGAAGTGACTGAGTGATTTACAGAAGAGAGGAGTGTTGCCTATTAACCTCCAGCAGGAGAGGACACTTCCTGCCCCTCCATGCTGCTTGGTGTTTAGTACCGAAGATGTGGGCTACCAAAGTGTTCTTCCTTCGTTATTTGAAAAAAAGTCATGGATCTGAGTTGGGGGTGGAGGGTCAACAGTAGACAAGCTTAGATGTTCTCTGAACACACTAATTCGTGGTGGAATTAAAGAATGCAACTCAAGACCTCCTCTACCCTGTTTTCCACCACTGCTTCTTTTGACTAAGTTTTTCCAGGTAACACTATTATTTATTATTTATTAGTGGTAGCGTGTATACCAACCAGTGGAAATAGAAATACATGAACACTGCTGTGATCCTTTTCAGTTTGGAGGGGGGGATCAGTCTATTTATGTACTTTTGAGCCCAAGCGATCAATATTAGCAGGGCTGTGATGGAGGTAGTCCTTCAGCAAGCCTGAGATCCAGTGTAAACCAGACCAAAAACAGACTTCTGTGCTGACTGAATTTATGTATCATCTGACCATCCTTAGGCAAATGTGCCCAGATAAGACCCCCCCGCCACACACACACACACACCCCTTTGGATAGCAGTGCTCTGGGGGCTGCTGTTACCTGAGTGGTATTTGTCACTACCATGTGAGCTCCATGTGGGACAAGTTAGGCTTAGGAAGGCAATGGCAAGTCACCCCACTCTGATAACACTGGGAAACCTTTGCTGTTGTGGGCCGTGGTAGGCCACTGGGTAGGTTGGCTGGTGATGAGAGAATCCCTGGGACACAGTAGTATGACAGTTTGCAGCCAGCAGTCTGGGGAAAAAATCTAATAAGGCAACACACTGTGAAAAAATAATATAAACAAAGCCACTTCAAAATAGTCATTCGGATCTGTCATCCCAGGGGAACTGCCTTGCTGTCTTTCCCCACAAACCTTTGGAATGTTAAAACTGGGCCACATAACCTCTGCACTGGGCCCAAAGCAGCACTGTATTTCAAACAATTGTTTTTGTTTTTTTTTCTTTATGACCTAGTTAAAATCTTCTCTTATTTTTATATTTTTCTTTTTTTCAAAGTTATTGAGATGCAATTCACATGCACTAAAATTTATCCAATTAAAGTAATTGTAGTATATTCACAGACTTGTGCAAACATCACAATAGAATTTCAGAATATTTTCATCATGAAACCCCATACCCATTAGCAGACACATCCTCTTTCCCCCTATTTCCCCCCACGACAGCCCTAGACAAATGCTCATCTACTCTCTGTCGCCATAGTTTTGACTCCTCTACATTTCATGTGAATGGACTCATACCACATTGGCCTCTGATACTGGCTTCTCTGAAGTAACATGTTTGCAGAGCTCGTCTGCATTACAGCAAACGGCCATAAGGCTGATGGTTAAAGCCATTCTTTAGACCTAGAATCACTGTGTGAGCTTATCTGCACCTCCAGTAACCCCTGCTTTCTAGCAATGTGAGTGGAGGTGGAGAGGTGAGAAGCTTGGGGGTTTAAGGGTGGCACTCTGGCTGCCCTATGGAAAATGACTGACAGAGGAGGCAGATCCCAGAGGCCAGGCCGTGGGGAGCAAAGGTCACACAGACAGAGCCCAGTAGGCAAAGGACAAAGCCCCCGAAGTCACCTTCCCCAAGAGCAGCCTCTCCGGAAAGAAGTGTTAGTTGGATTTGGATTCTCAGCCACACTGTAGCTTTATCTCCCCATCAGTGACCCAGGCATCACATCCCACGCACCTCCTCAGAGAAGGCACTGAATAAGTGACGTGTGTTGAATGCCAGTTAGTGACTCGCAGTACTTCCGCCCAGGGCAGTGGGGAACAACTGAGAATGATGCTTCTGGTGAGGCATTGGCGCTGGCCCTGCAGGGGTGGCAGCGATCTCGGGTTAGACCCGTAGCTTTAAGAATGCACAAAGTCGGAGCACAAGGACTGGATTGTGTGATGGGGCAATCTGGAAATCTGCTGGGCCCGGGGCTGGGCCCCAGGTTCACCGCGGCAGCAGACGGCTGAGTGAGTTTGCTGGAAAACAGGTTTCTCTACACCTCCCTTGTATTGGGAAGCTCCCAGACTTCCCTGCTTCTGTCACCCAACGCTGGGGTTTTGTGGGGACCTTAGGAGGTGAGAGGTAGCTCGATGGGAAACGATGACCCAGGTGGGGTCCTGTTTGCCAGGTGCATGACCCCGAAGCTGTCTCTTCTCCAGTCCTACCCTCCTTTCCCAGGCTCTACAGTGGGGCTGATGAGACTTCTTTCCTAAATGTGAGTCCGCACAGGAAACAGTGTACGTGGCATCGCCTTGTAAATCCCGTAGGTGCCTCGAGTTATGTACATACTGTGTAAGAGCCAGATGATGGTTTCAATGTGGGAGCGGAACTGGGGGATGTGGGCGTCCTCTTACCGAACCCTACCAATCCGGTGTTTTACATTCCTGGATAAGAATACAAAGCACAGAGATATCAATCTTGATGGAGTCCAGTACGAATCCGCCCGGCTTCAAAGCTGCTTGTCCTGCTGTGTCACGCTGCCCCAGGAGCACCAGCCCGTGGGTTCACCCAGGCACCGGCCAGTGTGCGGACCAGGGGCTGGTATATCTTCTGGATGCACAGTGACCAGCTTGTCCTGGTGTGCCTGAGACTATCCCAGATTTAGCACTAAAAGCAAATCCTAGTCAAACTGGGACGGCGGGCTGCCCTCCCTATCCCGGTCATTCATTGCCTTCCCTGAACCAAGAGCTCTGTGGACACAGAGCTGGGGACATTGGTGAGGGGGAAGGGTTGCAGAGAAGGGAGAGGGGAACAGGACAGTCAGGTGCTTTTGCCCAGATCTCACTCTGGGTGTGGTTAGAGTGAGGTTATACATAAAGCGGCTGCTGCATAAACAGGGCCAGCCAATAAAAGAGGCAGTAAATGTTGGAACCTGCTTTGGCAATTGGTTTCTTTTTCTTATCCTACTCTTTATGGGTAAGGAGGGCCAGCCTCCAGTACTCTGTCTACCCTTAGCCAGCCTGTTTTGGGCTTCAAAACCTGCATAAAGAGTTGTGTACTTGGGCCGATTACTCCTGGAATTTCAGAGGAAGGAAGGGAGCCCAGAGGCTGCTGAGTGGCATCCTTTCCCTTGGCATCTGTATTTTATTTGCTTGTCCCCTCCGATCACCAGAGCAGGCTCTCTCAAGAAGCCTGGGCTAGGCTGTCCTGTGGGTAGGTGGTGACAGGAGATGCCACAAGAAGGGGCCTGAGGCTGTCACCCGTCCCAGACCGTCAGCCCTCCATGCATTAATCCTGTAGCTAAATTGTGAGGCAGCTTTTAATCTTCTCCTGGAAGAGGACTTACCAATGGGGAAACACCTAGGCCAGGCCCTCCCGGAGGCCTGCTGTTTTAGGAGGCTCCTGACATCATATTGCTGATGTCGAACCAGTTTGATTTGTGCTCAGGAGTCTGAGCGTGTAGCTGGACTCCTGCAGAAGCCTCATGAAAGATGCATTTCACCAGGCAGTTCCAGGGGAGAGACCAGTTTAAATTATAGCTCGAGAAATCCAAATATTGGCATATCTGCAAATCCAAACGTAGGGATTTCAAGAAAAAAAATCTAAATTCTAAGAATCTTATTTTGCATGTCTTGTGCAAGAAGGGAGGGTGAGATATTCAGAGAGGAGACAAGGCTGCCAATAACGAGAGAAGCTCGGGCCGAGCAAACCAGCCTTTTCTTTCCCTGGGTGTCTTCATGCTATCACATGCGGGAGGGAGACAGCATCCGCTCAGCACAGCTGTGTCCCACAGCACAGTTTAGGAGCCACCCAGTCAGTGTCTGGGGCACAGTGGGACTCCCTATCTCCCTTGGCGGAGGCCAAAATCCCTAAAACGACCTTCAAGGCGCTGGCCTGCCTCCCCTATCACCGCTCTGACACTCCACACTCGCACCTCCAGACACACTGGCCTCTGCTGTTCCTCCTCCGTGATGGACATGCTTCGGCTTCAGGGCCTTAGCATTTGCTGTTCCCTCTGCCTGGAACACGTTTCCCCCAGGGACCGTCATGCTGTGCGCT